CACACCATTGGAAAGGGTACCTCAAACCAAATAATAGCATTTTTCAAGCAGAAGTAGTTGCCATAACAGCTGCCATTGAATACGTGGCGCTCAACAACATCACACATGTGCAGCTTTATACAGACAGTATGTCGACACTGCTCGCTCTTGACAAACATAGTCACGCCTCCCCGCTGATCATACGACTGCAGCATATCCTAAAAGATAATCGGCACGCACATGTTGACCTAGTATGGATTAAAGCCCATGCAGGTAACATGGGTAATGAGACAGCGGATGAACTCGCTAAAGAGGCTGCTTCGAACCAAAATGCCAGACCGATATCAGTATCAGCACCACCATCTTTCCTAAAAAGTCAACTGCGAAATGCCGCTATCCAGTGGTGGCAAAGAGAATGGGATCAGGGCGACACGGGAAGAAGAGCGCATAGCTTCTTGCCAAAAGTAACCACGGAGCGCCTTATGGCAATTGCTCCCCTTACCAACTTCATTACTGGTCATGGTCCCTTCCCGGATTACTTCTACCGCCGCACCATCTCAACCACGGATCGCTGTGTTTGCGGGGGTGAGGGGTCACCGGATCATTACATCTTTCAGTGCCCACTCACGGAACAGTTCCACTTCCCGATACCAGCCAATATCTCAGCATTTCACAAGTTCCTAGCCAAAAACAGAGCGGCCATAAATAAAATCTGCAAAATAATAATCACCATTGCAGCATATGGCCAAGACCTCTGTCAACCAGAGTAATAGGGCTTACATGCATTACTTGCGCGCTGACATATGCACTCTAATGCTCTACCATCTAATCTCTGACTGCATAGGGAGCAGAAGAAAATTGAACAGCATTTTTAGGTGTTTAATTTTCTTCTTTTGTTATAACCTATTAAGTTTTTTTTTTTTTTTTTTTTTTTTTTTTTTTTTTTTTTTTACCGTGCCTGTATGTTAATTCAAATGTACTTCAAATGCCAGATGTTAAACAGTTGCCCCTGTATGGCCATGTATCCACACTTATAACTGTTAAATAAACTCCAGGGGAGGACGCGGGACATATGCCTGTTAACCTCTGTTAAACTTCAGGCGTTCCCGTCCTCCGTCACCTGTCACCTGTCAAGAAAAAGCTGGTTGTAGCGCCTCATTTCACAAATTAGAATTTCTATATATTTTTATTTTTAAAATTGAGATTGATTTTTAAAATTTTAGCATAATTAACGTTCCAAATAATTATAAAGCTATTGCATGCTTTCAGGGCTGGATATTTTTTTAGCTTTTCCTATGCTGTAAGGAAATTTGTAACTACTTCTTTTAGAAAATAATATTTTAAATCTGAAGTAATAGAAAAATTTCAAGCGAGCAATTTTCTCTTGATATTTTTATGCTTTTTATTGATGTAAATAAGTAAAAAGTAGTAAAATATTTAAAAACGAATTTTTGAAAGTTTTCTTTAAAATTATAAATTGTGTTGCTTTTTAAAAATTATAGATGAGTGTTATAGCACAATTTCTATAAAGGAATTTTATTTCAATTATATTTCATAATACATCATAGTGATAAAACACTTTTGACTTCTTAAAAATTTTTATATATTTAATTCTAATATTAAAATTGTATTTAACCGTAATAATTAGTTTTGCTTGTATTTTATAGTGATTATTTTTTAAGTTTATTTTTAGTTCTGCATAATATTTTTTTTATTTATTGTTAATTTAATTTATTAGCCCAAAACGACGGTCGCCTAGAAAGGAAGTAAGTTTCGAAGCGGCATTTTGCGCTGTTTTGCTTATAAGTGTCCGTGTCTCCTTCCAAATTGTTGTTACCAAATATTATCGCCCTGTATTATATGTAAAGAAATTAAATAATGAAGAATCTGCAAGAATACATGTATGTTTCTCGCACTGTGACAAAAACGACAGTATCTAGCGCCATCAAATTTTGAATAATGTAATCCTCCACCCGAACATGGGCATCTGGACGGCCGAATTTCGAATTTATTTTAATCTATTTCATATTTTGCAAAACTTTAACGAATTTTTGATTAACAAACTCAACGAGTTCAGAGCGAGCACTGCACGGAAAATAACAGTTTTATCTCCAGTGCGAAAATTCTAAAGATATGCTGTTTTCAAATGTATGTGGTTTACGGGCGAAGAGCATGATATTCAATAAATATAGGTAACACACAAAACTTTAAAAAAAGGTTCCTTTTGGGCGTAATATAAAATCTGAGTGCTTCTAGATTTTATTTTATCTTTTTTCCCCCCTTCATTACGCTCAGAAAATTTTATGCTCCAAATTTTATGAATGATTAAAATAACTAATCCACTTTAATGTTAATAATTTAATGATCGTATAATCAAATAAATATGATCGTTTTGTAATGTTATTATAGTTTGGAAAATCACTGCCTGAAAATGTTCATTAAATTAAAAAAAAAATTATCAGATCTTGTTTAATTTTACCTTATTTATTTCAAAGCATCACTTACTATCAATCTTATTTAATTTTACTTTATTTTTACGCAAAATTAAGTTCATAAATTTTGTGCTTATTGTTTTTACCGTTTACCAAAGTAAAGATGTTTGTACAAGAATTACGCATGAAAAAAATGCGCGAAATACAGTAAAAAATGCTTTAATGGATTATATTATTTCCTATATGGTATTCTCAAGGTCCATGGAGAATCCATTGTGACGTCACAAGCTTATTCCCGCCCGTTTATGGTCGTCACACAGCCTCCGCCTTCTCAACTTTGTTGATGCAGCCTATTCTACGCTTTTACCAAATTATTTATTAAAGGTGAAATAGCTAAAGGCTTCCAGTATTGTTTTTAAAATTATATCCTTTTAACCTTAATCATTTTTATTAATCATTTCTTAATATTTCTTTCTCTTAAAATCGTGTATAATAGTAGTAAACTTATTTCTATTATCCACGATTTCTGGTGAAATCAAGATGGCGGCCATTTTTTGAAACACGGAGTTTCGTCGAAAATCTGGATGGCAACCATTTCTCAAAACAAAGTATTTCATGTGCTTTGGCGCCAAACCAAATTCGCCAAACTTTGAAGGTGGGCTATACTAAAGCTGTTACCCACATTTTTTTAATTCCTGCTATTAACTCACCTCCTTATATCTTGTTCAATCTTCAATCATTAATAAAATACTTTTCGTCCACTCAAGTTCAAATACATTTTTTTAAACTTGTAGTGGATGACACTTGATGTTAATGACAATTTTTTCACATATTAAAATCAACTCCTACTTATTTATTCCTGTTTATCGAAACTAAAGCTTTTTTTTAATATTACAAAGACTTACAAATAAGGACCGTTTATTAGGAATTCTCATGTGCTGCAAAAATTAATTTTATAACAACTTATAAATAATAGTACATGACTGTGATAAATATTTAACAAAATTTATAATGTTTAACAAAAATAAATGGTAATAGTAAGACAGAGTTTTAAAGATTTTTAAAGTGTATACTTGCAAGGTAACACTGTAAACTATGTAGTTGTTAAAAATTAATCAATTTCTTAACTTATTTTAATAACTTCGGAAGAATGGAAATATATTTCGCAGAGAAAACCTTTTTAATTAACAACGAATTTATTTATTTAGCATTCTGAACATATCAAACATTCCGTGCGTTATCGAGCTCAAAGCATATGTAAACAAAACATCACTGCTGCCGCAGAAAATCTACATTATTATGAATATATTAAATTATTGTATATTAATAGAGTTCGTGCACGTTCCTTAATAGCAGTAATGTATCTAGGACGAAAACTCTTCGCAGCAGGTCAAGTGTATGTCGCCTTGAGTCTTGTGAAATCATTAGATGGAATATTAATTGAAGAACTGGACTGCTCGAAACTCACTGGAAGGTTCCCTGCAATAATGAAGCATTACAAGAGATGGATAGAATGAGAAATTATAGACCATCATCAGCTTCATAAATTAGAAAAAAAAAATTTAATAATGTTAATAAAAAGTAACTAAAATAAATTTTTTCTTTGTTGACCTAAGTAGGAATTGACTTAAAGAAAAAAGTTTTATATTACTTGTTTTGCGGCAAGTGAAGACTCTACATGTGTGACTGCTATAGCATAATATTATTATCATGATTTTTGTAAGAATATTGTAACAATATATTAATAATAAAGAATATTGTATGCAATATTCAGAATAATAATATGAAAAATGCAGTAGAAAATGTTATGCCCATCTGAACCGTCATTCCGACCTTGCCGATTTAATTGACTAGCCTTAGCTGACAGGTATATAGACGCCGCGAGTTCTAACAAGCAGACGACCTTGCTAATAGCTTAGTAGTAAAGAGCAGTAGTAGCTTCTTCATTGTAAGAAGTTACGAAAATAACTTTTCAGTTATTCTCAGGATCGAACTAATCCGATGATGAGAATAATTGTGAAGCTTAAATTCGAAAAATACGTTAAGGTTATTAATTCGAGTCCTTAGATTTCGCTTCTTAGATTAATTCTTCTTAGATTTCGCTTCCATGTTATTGATGCGCTTCTACAAACAATAATTTATGCCTTGTTTAGTGAAATTCGAATTTCTTGTATTTAATTTAAATTTAAATTATATTTAATTTTGAGCTTTATACCTGCAGGTACAGGCAATCTTGTGTTCTAAATTATGTTAGTTTTTATAATTAATTCCATAAGTAGCAAACCCAATAAAACATTTTAGGCGGCTGACTGTTAGTTGGATATTTATTACTGGCTAATGAAAACACACTGGTCATTAAAAGGATCTAATTCCGCTAGCAACTTACCACAAGCCTTGAGCACTCAGAAAAGGCTAAAATCTTGCATACGGTCTTTTAGTTTAGAGCAAATCACAAGTTTCCGGAATTATTTTAGCTTTAAATCTGAAGTTGAAAAAATTATTTGAATATTGCTAACAGCTTTATGTTCGAATATCTTTTCCTCTCGTTATTCTGTTGTGTTTGGAACTAATTGTTGCTTTTATTTTCAGCTGTCAAAGATCTGTTGCTGTAGTGGACGTGAACTGCGCTGGTCGCCAAGCCCCTGTTAGTGATTCAGCCTTGAAAGAAACCGAAATTTTAAGCCCTTGGATATTGGGCTTTACAGAATCACAAGATGGCAATACCAGGTAAAGAGATCTTTCGACTTCGAGTTATAAGAAAGAAATTTTGGTTTCCATTTTTTTATTTTAGATTAGATACCACTTTTTAACAATGAAAAAAATAGTTGTTTATATCGCAGTATTCGACTCGTCATTCATTCCTACTTATTTTTCCAAGAACTTATTCATAAATGATATCTACAACCGTAACATGATCTGTTTATTGTCTTGATTTATCTCCTGATTTTGTTAGTTGACAACGGTCAAGTCAACGCAAAGCGCAAAAAGCATTTGGCTCTGTTTGAATGTATGGACCCAAGCATTTCATTCGTGTAGAAGGAAATTATCTTTAATTATTGCATCATCATATATTATCATCGATTACACACATGCTCTTAAAGTTCGAAATCTTTAAAAAGTAATTGAAATTGGACATTACGAGAAAAATTCAAATATTGAAGAAACGAAAAGTGAATAATTGACAAGAATTAAAATCAGACATTTTAGAGGATCTAAAACCACAACAGGAAAGCAAAATTCAACGAAAGTGTTCAAGAAAAATTTTTAAATTACTGTACATTGTATATACATTGTCAGGACTTGTACGTCTTTAGATTTGTTTCGGGAAAATTGCGTGTCCTGAATAGGAACAAGGAGCTTACGCAAGCTATGTTCAAATATGTATGGAATGGACGACACAAGCAGGAAGGATTAACTTTACCCTTTATTGTTCACGATATTACAAGTGCTCCCGCACTTCGGGATACAAAGACCAACCACTTGTGGTCTGAAACGTAAAAATATAAAAACTGCTAACTAGGTAACTAAAAAAAATCTGATGTGTACACCACATGACTTCCTTGTATTGGAATATTAAATTATACGCATTTTTTCTTGCATTTCATTTAAACTTATTGGATTGAATTAAATCTACTTCGCCGACAGCGCATAAACCACAATAGAATAAATGCATTCTTTAAAATTCACTCTAGTATTTGTTTACGATAGCGACACTCTGGCGCTAGATTCACTTAACACTATTAATAATTATATAACAGTTAAATTATATATTTCGTTCATATTATAACTCATAATGCCCCAAATTTATATCATTTAAAGAATAGAATTATCTAATCGTTGCCACATGTTCTATTCAAATACTATAATAAAGCTAGAGTGATGTATAAAAGAAATTAAGCAAACAAAACAAAAACAAAAACAAAACAGTTTTTCACAGACGATTGAGTATTTCTCATTTAATTAATTCAGTTCTCACTTCGCGAGAAGGCAAAAATACATAAAACTCAAAATATCTATATTAAAAATTACGAAGTCAATCTTAAACGCTTATTTCCCAAAAAAATTCCAGAACGGATTAAGCATGATTTAAATAATAAATGAAGGCGTTATCTTTGTTGTTGCGAAGCTAAGTTTTTCTAGATTGGCAACAAATCCACTAGTCTCCTGTTTCAAATGTAAACATCAATGGCCGCCATTAAAAAATGCTTAGCGGCAATTAAACAACTTTAAAATTGCTGATAATTCTAAAAATATTGCACTCAGATTTACTAAAGGCATAAAATCCTTAACCGGAAGATAAAAACAACATAATTCAATCATTTTTAAGGCAAAAAAATGTACAATTTACCAACATATAAGAGTAAAGAAACTGAGATTACTGAGCCGGGTAACAGAGTGTATATAAATATAAATATATTTTTATACGTTTGGTGCGGCCGATTGCAACCAAAATACGAGGTGCACATCTACATGTTATAGCAGTTCTATATACAAAATTTCAACATTCTGAAGCTACTCGTTTTTGAGTTATGCGAGATACGTACGTAGATACGTTCGTACAGACGCCACGAAAAATTCTCTTCAGAATTAATTTTAAAGCAGTTTTATAATTTTTTTGAAGGAAAAGAGTATTTTATTCTGTCCTTACGTACAGATATCACGCAAAGACACCGTTAAATTTCATTCGATAGCGGTCAAAATGGATATTTTCGTTGAAATATGCTGTCTGAAACTTTTCACGATTACAATACTTCCTTTTTACTTCGTACAAGGAAGTAAAATGAGTTAACTTCGAGTGCTTTACACAATTTACTGACACTAAGACTGGCCTTTTAAATTATTACGTATGTAGTACGCACACTTGCGAAACTACAATACGTTTTAAATATCAAGAGGACTAAACCTCTTAAAGGCAGACAGTGGCTGATTGAAAACTCGTGCGGAATACAGTGGCAAGGCGGCTCACTTTCCCTCTCTATCTAACTCTTGGCAAAAAGCCACAACTTAAATATTTGGGCGTTAGCAAGTACAATTTGCATAAAGAAGTTAACGCATTTAATTCTGGCCGGAAGTGGAAAATAAGAGAAGTTTTAAAATAAATAAACGTTAGTAAAACTTAAGATCCTTACAACATAGTTACGAGTGAGTGGGCGATATTGATCCACCTCACTAACGTGCTGTCGCGCCCCAATTTTGATAGAGATCACTCTGAGAAAGAATGTGAGGTTCTCTATCGCCTGTTCTCCATGCCACTAAACAACACGAGGGGCCTTCTGACTCTTCAGTATTTCAAGGGCTCCCATGTAGCACAGACACTTACGAACACTTAAGCTTTCTCTAGGATTCGAACCCAAGCCCATCAGTATGGCAGCCAGTGTCGCTAACCACTGTACAGAAAAGCATTTGTACAACATATTTACCAACATTCTACAAACAGAAAGTTATATTTCATGCTTCAAAAAGTGTAAACAGTTGTAAACGCTAGCACCAACACGTCAAAAAAGCTGCGAACAGAATCCATACTTTATGACTAACTAGGTGTACCCGCCCGGCGTTGCCCGTGCATTTAGAAAATGCAGATAAGTGAATAGCGCAGGAATAGTAGTGTAGGACATGTAGACTGTCTCTCTCTCTTCCCCCCCCACAAGCTACAAAAAAGAAATGAATTGTAATTAATCGATTTAATGTATCGTCAAAACAGCAAACTAACGCTAGAATAAAGAAATCAATTGTTACAATCGAACGTTATTTGAAAAACAATAATAATATCAGTGAGTCAAAAAAACCGTGATTAATTAATTATAAATAATTTTTTTAAAATTTTTCTAATTCAAAAATCGAAAATCGGGCTTCGAGGTCTGGTGGCCAGCCCCTTTGTGCTTCCGTATAAAAAATTCCAGGTCCCTGCGTGCGATAGATTTGGCTGGAGAGCTCAGTCAGACAGACAGACAGACACATTACACTTGCTTTTATTATTATATAGATATGTGATCATGATAAGGTTTTATTCGTTTGTGATCTGCTGGAAAGTTTGTTAGCAGTGCAAGTGTACTATCAGAATCAAAATTCCATTATTGTGTGTTTATTGTTTTCATTATGTATTTCCTCTACTGCTATTTTCGTTTCCACTTTGCTTTCGATGGGAAAGAGTTTTAGGTCTCCTTGTAGAAATCTGTATCGAAACCCGATGAAGATTTTGATATCTACATCTTCACAAAAAATAAGAGTTAGAAAGGGAACCTGTTTGAGTCGATTTGCCAAATTTTCCAACTTAATTCTAAAGTTTCTGTTTAATAGTAGATTTGATAAAATCAAAAACAGATGTAACTTATCTAACAGATTTCTTTAATAGATTCAGTGGATCGAACCATCAGCTTTCAAGAGCAGAATTTAATTTCTGTTACATATTTATGAACAGAAGAAAAGCTTCAAAATTTCCAAACTTTAAAACTACCAAAATTTGGATGCTTTAAAATTGAACGTCAAGAAATAAATTCAAGCTATTTTGCAAAGGAGTGTAAACTTCGGAATTTACCGTTTTCCTACGGAATTTCAAAAACATCGCCGTTCTGCAAAAAGAGAAGCTACCAACTTTACATCTTAAAACTAGGATCTCAAGTAAATAAATAAAAATAAAGAGCAGATGAACAAAAATGTTACTAACAGTTTGGGTTTTTCTTTATTAGGAGATTAGAAATACATTCTTTTGCAAAAAAATATAAGTACCACGAAGGAAGTGGTTGTTTTTGGTGAAATTGAATATGTGTATAGCTCATACATAGATAATAAAATGATTAAAAGATCAAGGTCATAGTACTTGTTCACGGTTCACAATCACCTAATGAGTGTTCAAATTAGTAGTTGGTCGAACGGCCCCTGGAGGCAATGAATGCTTCAATTCGTAGAGACAAGGAGTGGTATAGGTTCCTAATGTCATCCTGCGACACATTCTGTCAGGCATTCCTCAGTTGTCGCTCCAGATTTGCAATATTTTGTGGTGCCCGGATCTGGCGGCCTACCATACCCCAGACATGCTCGATTGGTAACCTTGCTAGCCAAGGAAGAGTATCAACCGGAGACAAGCCACAGATATGCGAGCGGTATGTGGCCTGGCATTTCTTGTTGGAAAATGGCCCCAGGATGACGTGCCATGAAGGGTAATGCAACCGGCCGCAGGATGGTATCAACATATCGTTGAGCTGTTAAAGATGTACGGAGGATCATTAAAAATGACCTGCTGTCATAAGAAATAGCGCCGCACACCATCACACCAGGGGTTATGGCTATATGCCTTTGTAAAACAAATGCTGATTGGGACCGCTGGCCCCGTCCTCTCCAGACACGAACACGGTGGTCATCTGCTTCATGAGTGAAGCGGGATTCATCGATGAACACTATACGATGACAGTCTGATGGCAGCCATAATGATCGGCTGCGACACCACTCCGGACGAATCCGCCGATGTTGTCGGTCAAAGGCAAACATCTTAAAAGCCTCTGTGAGCGTAACCCCGTCTCAGACAAGCGTCGTGACCTGGTAGACGGTGGCACGAGAAGTATAGACATAGCTGTTACAATGGCAGCAACAAAGTATGATAAATTTTCCGCCTGTGTTACTGGTTTTATACTTTGCGAATTGCGCACTAGAAATACGCACTATACTATGATCGCAGCTTCTGCTCATTTGCCTTGAAACGTTGATCATTTGCATTTTCGATCAAGATTTTTTTTGCATACCAAATTTCGTGACGATCGCAAAAGTCCTTCTTGGTGCTTCGATTTTTTTGCAAAAGAGTGTATATCACAATAAACTGAAACGAAAAACTACAGACATAAAAGTTGTACATAAAACGTATATATATTTTTTATAGAGAATGAATAAGTTCACTGCTAGCTTTTCTAAGACTGGTGGAATTTTTTAAGACTTGTGGAATTTTTCTAAGACTGGTGGAATTTTTGAGTCTCTGACGTCTTTTTTACTATGTTTCACGATTTGGGGCCAGACATGGGAAAGGATTAAACTCATTCTTTTAATAATCTACGAGGTATAGCCTAAAAGTGTTAAAAGGATTCGCAGAAGGAAATTATCCTACAGCAAACTGTATTCTGTATGCGAAGCACTATTGTACAGTTCTACAATCGACTACAAAATACGAGTAAAAGACACACAGAAGCAGAAATGTCTCTCATTTACAATCTGAAATAATGTGAGTAGAATTGCTTCCACAAATACAATAACAAAATAACCATAACTTTTTGGATTACCAGAGATGTATTACATTGAATATGATGGATATTATGCCACCCAAGGAAACGCGCTTCACATTGCGCTATGATTTGGAAAGGGAAAAAATACAATTAGACATTGCCCAAAAAGACGTTGACAGAGGAGATGTAACCCTTGTTTAAGCAGCAATATCTTCGGACGTTCACAATGGCCTTCTCGTGTTCCTGATGGATCTAAGCATGCTCGTAATGGGGCGAAGCCACCGACCACTGAGCTTCTAACAAATCTGTCAGTTGAGCCAACCCCAGCGGACGAGCGGTAAAAGGCGCTCAACAGTGGTACTTCGGTCCGTGTCTCCAATCAGGGTGAACGGGGCGTTTTCGTGGTTTTCCTCGTACTCAACGTAGATGCCAACCAGTTTTCTTTAAAAAGACTTTACGAGACATGCATTCTGTTCCGTACTGTGTACTAATGGCAAAGCGTATAATTATAATAATAATAATAATAACTTTCAGTTGTAGCTTAACTCGTTTATGTTACCTTTCCTCACATCAGACTGCAGTTTTTCCGGTATATTTATGCTAACACCGGTGTCCGCCGATAGCATCGCGGCAAAAACATCGCGGACGAAAACGTCGCGGAGAAAACAACGCAAGGCGAAAACGTCGTGCTACAAAACATCGTAAGTATCTACAAATCATCGCATGACGATAGCATCGCAGACATGCTTTTTTCAGGCTTTAGTAACTGTAAATGGATATTCCCATAATGATTCGTGAGCGCAAGATGGAAAGAAGGATAATTTTTACTTTCACATTTTTTTATTCACTAATCAATTTTTGCTGAGAAAATAAGAAGGAAACTTAAGCATAGAAAATTATTGCAACTTATAGCACTTAATAGAATTTTAAACTGACATAGTTAACTAACAAAGGCCATTAAAAGTTTTTAACTAGTAATTTTTCATGAAAAGTATAATAAGTTGCATTTAATTTTCTATTCTTAAGTTTCCTTCTTACATTTCAGCAAAAATTTATTAATTAATAAAAAAATGTGAAAGTAAAAATTATCCTTCTTTACATCTTGCGCTCACAAATCATTATGGGAATATCCATTTACAGTTATTATAGCCTGCAAAAAAGCATGTCTGCGATGTTATCGTCATGCGATGATTTGTAGATACTTTATTTTTTACCACGATATTTTCGACGACGATGTTTTGTACCACGATGTTTTAGAACTGCGATGTTTTCTCTTTGCGATGTTTTCTTTTGTGATGTTTTCTTCCACGATGTTTTGTAGCATGACGTTTTCGCCTTGCGTTGTTTTCTCCGCGACGTTTTCGGCCGCGGCGTTTTTGCCGCAATGTTTTCCGTTGTAACCGCTAACACCGACGGTGACTCTCTTTCTACTTAGCTATTTTGCTTAAATTTCAGGAGTAAGTGCATCGGTGCTTTACAAAAGACAAAAACAGAGTCAAACTTTAAATTCTCTTATAACATTAAATAAATGCTTAAAGCTTTCAGCAAAACTTTTCCACAAATTGGTTGGAAAGGTACATGAAAACAGCTTACCAAAGGTTTTAAACTGTGTGATACAAATAACATGTTTTACGAAGATCGCGTGTTCCATTCCTCTCTGAGTAAGAGAATTTTATTGGGAAAGAGCACTCTTATTAATATTAAAAATCAGACGCAACTACAACCTTAAATTCGTGCAGATTTTGAATAAAACTCTACCTATTTTGACGTCCTTCTTCTTCAGGAGCAAGTTTTCCTGTTCCTAAAGAAGAGTAACCTATATCTGATCGACCTAGAAATCGGTTAGGGTTTCATTAAAAAATCTACGAAAATCTAAGAACGCGTTTTTGCCTATTTTGAAATCAGAGAATCTTATTTTAAAATTAATTTAATCTTCAATGAACGGTTATAAACTGAAAGTTAAATGTGCTGAAACCATGTCTATGTAATCTAACTTAAACTCATTTTATGCGATACAATGCATTCATTTTATATTCCACTCTCAGGTTGTACATCGAGTTTCAAAAAGATGCTGTTTCTGGAAGACAGGAAGCTCTAATTGCTCTCATGGAAGTGGATGATCCAGAAGAAGTGAGTCAGCTGCGTAGTGTTCTTCCTGACCTCTTGAAAGCTGAGCGGGAGGGTAAAGAAACATACCCTCATTTCTTGAAAAAGGCACTTTTATCTTGCGTCAGGTACGTTTACTGCGTTATTTCAATTTATTTTGTAATTGCTATAAGGCCTATCGAACTTCGTAACGTATTTCATATTTTATACCACTCTCTTATATCGCTTACTGCTAATTTTAATGTTATCTGCAGTTCATTCTGTAAAAAACAATAGGCTTACTATTTAATTATATTGGGTGGTCTAATAAATATTATTGCATCGTTAGATCTCCTATCCATTGCTCTAGCTATTGCGTTCCTAGTCTTACTAACTGTTCGATTTAATAGTATATCTGTTTATTTTTAATAGTGTACGAGCCGGAACTAGTTGCCAAAGTTCCTGTTTCTTCTTATCAAATATCGTTCCTTCCCTTTCTCAGAAAGAAACGACTCTGTCGTCTATTATCTTCTTTACTTTAAATGAAATAAAAATGTCAGGAAAAGCTGTCCCACATTACAGACTTAGCAGATACTTTGTATGTTTCTACAGAACTCTGTTATCCGCAAGGATTTGTATGCTGACTATCTTGATAGTGATATTCTTAAACTTCCAAACTATTAGAAAATTAGAAATACCATGAAGCCATTGCAAATTGCAGATCCCCAGCCTACTGTTGATGTTAAACTTACGCATCTTAACAGGATTTTTCAGGAATCATTAAGGGCCTCATATCTTAGAAGGCCTCAAAATCACTTTATAATTTTCTCCACACAAAAATAAAGAAGAGAAATTAAGAGATTTAAGACCTAATAAAAATTCTGAGTCTGAGTAATAGATTATTCTATGGGTCTCAGAAAACAAGCTGTATTTTTTACAAAGGAAATTATTTGCCTAAATTTTCCAGTTTTAAACTTTCCTTGATGAAGAAACCTAGAATGACTATACAGATATTGCATTTTGTCAGTTATTTCTTAGAAATTAATGTTTTATATTTTCAGATTTTTGCGAAGCAGGAATTATGTGAATCATTTTGGCATTACCATGTGCCATTTGTCTTCAACGTCTGGTTGCCCAGTTACATTAAGACTTGGCACTATTGGACGTCCTTCTTCATGTATACTTGGACGTGCCGGAAATATTATTGTGCTGGCCCAGAGGCAGGAAGTAGCACCATTTGGAATAGATGAGTGGATTCAAGCCATGCAGGTATTGCAACAGTTTATAGTTGTTAACTCCAAGTTGACTAACCCTTTAGACATACTAATGAGTGTTAATTTGCCTTATAACTGACTGCTTGGTTTGAAATTGATTTAGCTCTTAAACTACAAAAAATTGGAGTTTTCTACATTTATTTACTAATTATTAATAAGCAGCAGAAAAGCAAGAAATAATGTATATTTGATTAGCTTTGAATTCAGAACACTCTTCACACACCTCTTCAGTGTCAAAATGATTAACTATGCGATATAAGGTTACTTGAAATTTTTTATATCTTTAACAAGTAGTCGTCAGTAATAAGAAACCGAAAGTATAGGCCCCATAGGACTAAGCTATTATTTGCTAACACTGGAAAACAATTTTATTCCTTGGTTGCCACATTATTATTATATCAAGGCTGTTTACCATAACTGGATTAACCACGCAGAGACATCTAGTAGAGAAAGGCATACGTTTATCAGCCACGCTTAGTTAACCCTACTGATAATCACCAATTGATATCTTATAAAGAACTGCTGTAACTGCATAGCTGATAAGTTCAGCAACAAATCACCTGACTTTATGCTTTCATGTACCCTGCACCATATCCTGCATACTCTGATTCTATATCCAAAGACTCGTACCTTTGATGACGGCCAGACTTCGCAGAAAAAGCTTAATAGGCCCAAAAATTATTAGCAGTAGACCTTTGAAAGAGATGAAAGAAAGGTTTATGAGATAATGAAATCTGGCAGACTGGTTGACATGAAGAAACGAAGTTCTAGACTGATAAAATTGCTTGACAATCTATCTTCAATGATCATCCTCACTGATACAGAAAACAATACATTGCAGAGATTTTTTAACTGACCATCTCCATCCATACATACAGCAGGCTTGCTGAGACCAGTTTAATATTTCAGCAAAGTTAAGTATTTTATTTCCAGTCTAAGAACATCTCTTGAACCCTCAAATTTCTTTATTTGTAATCCAGTGGACCATCTGAGAGATATGCCATAAAAGTCTAAAAGAGATGTTGATCTCTTCCATTCGATAAGTATGAAATGACATGTATGGATGAGGATTGATTCGTCTGCAAAAGTTATTAGAAAACTTATAGAATATATTTTTAACAGTATGTAAACCATGCACAAAAAGACGGGCCAAGTATTTATTTGCTAGGTGTTACTTGAGAAAATATTTTCTTTTTTTTTTTTTTTTTTTTTTTTTTTTTTTTTGTATACTTTAGGAATTAATCATATTTAATATACATTATAAATTTCTCAAGAAATTTATCTATAAATAATACTTTTTATTTCGTTGCGACTTGAACTTAATTCCTGATGCATAAGTGGATCCCATTCAAGATTCTATTTTAGAATCATACTGTAATTATTAATTGGCTAGGTTTTTTAATAACTCATTTCTTTCTCTTTTTGCAGGAAACGGAAGTTTGCTGCAATAACTATTTCAACAACGCACCAAATAAACCTGTACCAAAAGGATTATGGACATGCGTACCCGATCCTGAAGTAAGAGAATTAGTGTTGAGTCCACAGGACAAGTTTTTAGTCTTTGGGGATAATGCGTTTTCAAGAATCGTGCCAGCTGACGAAGTATGTCGACAAGTTCAAGGCACGACCTCACCAGTGGCCGCTAGCAAAGCTCTATCTGAAATGTATTCCGCTTTAACCAGTGGAAAAAGAGAATGCATTGCGGTCATCATGCTGAAATTTGATGCTCCCCCTGTCGAAGAAGATGTTGAAAAATATAGGTGTTGGGAATTCATGCTAGAACAAAATCACAAACTGCTCTTCACCAAAGAACTTGAAACAATACATAAAACTATATTACATAATGGTGATCAAAGACCTAATAATGTTGACCCTTCTTCTTGGTATACGACGGCTCTGTCCAAGTATAAATGTCCTCTGCCTTCACATAGAGGACGGTACTATTGTTATGGTAATAAGCTGGAATAAATTTCAAACTTCTAATTATGAAACAAAAGTACTGAAAAGTATATCTTATAAATTTTTATCATGGACAAAAATAAGCTGTTGGACAAACACTGTTGTTATTAGAAGCTCTTGTAACTGTAATTAAAGGCAAACTCTTATATGTCTGTGACTGTAACACTTTGCAAATTCTTATGGATTGAAAAATAGCTTTGTTATAAGTATGAGAGCGTTTTGTTATAAAATTTTCAATAATCCTAAGAAAATACTTGTTTATTTGTCTCTAAGAAATTTATTTATTAAACTTCTACGATTGGTGAAAAATTTCTGAGGCTGTTTAAGAACACTTACATGCATAGCGTATCCTATCGTTAATAAATAACTCAATAAAGATAAATATATTTTTGAATATTTGAAAATGACATTTTATATTACTGCTAATATTGTTAGACTATTTTATCGATACAGATAGTTGAGCTTAACTGTCTAACCCCATAAAATATAATACCTGACCAATAAGTACTCTGCGCTAAAAATGTAAAGGTTTTAGATTATTAAAAATTTTTAGAAGTATGAAAATGAATTTTGTAGTAATTTAACAGCTAAGTTTCATAGACATATATATAACCACTGGGTAGGAAAAGAAAGAAAACAGATACGGCTCAAGTATTTTGAGGACTGAACTCCCGAGAAGCCGAGATGTTAGATACATTGATGAATTTGAAAACTGTACTAATTATGATAAAGATTTAGAAGTTTTATTTCTCGAAAATATTCCTGATAAAAAGAAGGAAGAACCTCTGAATGTAAAGCAAATATCGGCTGATGAAATAACAGAAGACCCCTCAAATATGGCAGAAGCATCTGCTGAATCATCTGATAATGAAGATTCTGATTCCGAAGCAACTACCTGAAATGCAAGATTAAAAAGGGGGCAGGATCGTCCAAAGAATAGTCAAGACTGGGGAAGCCAGGAAGACCGAAAAAGGAGTACCGTAATATAAACCATAGAAAAAGGAAGAAGCACAAATTGCTGAAGAATAGGATACAAATCCCGACATTAGAAGAAGCATTAAATGGAAGTATGCTGAAGAATGGCATAAGGCTATGCAAAGTGAGTATGAAGCACTTGTTAAAAATGGTGCATGGAAATTAGTAAAGCGACCACAGAACAAAAAGGTAATAGGATGTCACTGGGTTCTTAGAACGAAATATAATGCAGATGGAACAGTTCAAAAGAGAAAAGCTCGATTGGTTGCTAGAGGATTTGCACAGGAACTTGGAATTGATTTCAATGAAACCTTTGTTCCAGTAGCCAGAGCAAGCTCTATAAGAACTGTGATTGCATATAGTGCTATAACAACCTTATGTTATATCAACTAGATTTTGTGATGGCTTATGTTAACGGTGATTTAAAAGAAGAAATTTTCATGGAACAAGCTAAAAGTTTTGAAGACCAAAATAATCCTGATTATTAAGACACAATAACACGACGAATAAGTACCAATTCACAAGTCAAACAAAAAAAATCAGCGTTAATTTTCAAAATTCTAGTTTCGATGGTTTTACCGAACCACCATCCTCAGCTGCAAAACCGCAAATGAACAAGATAGGAAATAATGATTAGATAAGATAAGAAAGCCTGGACAAGAATCAGCAAGTGGCGCCATCTTTTGGTGAAACTAGAACTAAAACATAATTTCTTTAAAGGCCAAAGGCAAAGATGGATTGGAATTAGGATCGTTAACAAGAACAGAAAGATTTTTCTGAATGTGAAATGCCTCTAGAAAATCCATTTGTCCAATGCAAGATGTTTTTTGAATAATTTTGGCAGCAGAAAAATTGAAAGTGTGATTTTCGGACCAACAATATTGAGTAACAGAAGACTTCTGTGTTTCCTTTTTTCTAAGGTATGCCTCATGTTCCTTGACACGAAATTTTAAGGCTCTCTTAGTTTGGCCAATGTAAATTAAACCACACTGGCAAGGAATCCTATAAATACCCCAAGAATTCATATCCGGAATGGGGTCCTTGAGTATGGAACTCGGAATTTTATTGATGGGAGAATAAACAACCCGAAAGTTAAATTTCTGCAAAATATGTGCAACTTATTTCTGTTCTTGTTAACGATCCTAATTCCAATCCATCTTTGCCTTTGGCCTTTAAAGAAATTATGTTTTAGTTCTGGTTTCACCAACAGATGGCGCCACTTCCGTCGAATTAGTAAACTGTAAATTAGTTTTACAACACAAACTTTAATGAAAAAAATTATGAACAAAATTATTTACAGTTACATGTTTCAACTGAGAACAGATGCATGTTGCTCAATGGCTGCGTAGGTCGAGAGTAAAACTCTCTTCATCGTTGCCTAGACGATCTCCACTCGCGCTTGCGCAGCGTTGCCACAAAAGTTCAAAGAAAGAAATATTTCAAACTCGTAACATATTCCTTCCTGAGAAATTTTTCTATTCCAAGTTAGGGACAAGATGACAAAGTTTCACTTCCTTGAGTAATATTATTTCCATGTTTATTATGGACATCCTTTCTTTTTAGATGTTTTACACAAATATGGCTATATTTTGAATTTAAAATATTACATTACAATGTGGATATTCTTCTCTGTAGTTAAAAATTCTGTAGCTTGTTAAAAAATTAAGGCTGTGTTAAGTTCAAATATAGCAGTGTTTATGAAGGTCTGAGGTAAATGGTGGGATTACATTAAGAATCCGGGTGACGTTTTCACATGATAGAAATCAAGATGTAGCGTACGTTCGGTGATTTAAATACGATGTATACAAGAAAATGCAAGATATTTTTGTAAAATATTTCAAAGAATCAATCTGTTTTAGTAATATACATGAATCCTCCTGCTCAATAAAAAGGAGTTTTCTGAATATATTTATGTAAATGTCTCTAATGTAAAATAATAAGAAATGAAATGCCGTTGGTACGTATTAGACTGAGGCAGACAATAATAAGAAATTTCGTATTTTTTCGTATGTATTTCAACTAAACTGTCTAGAGATGTCCATATATTAGTTCAAGTAGATTTTTTTGACATGAAAAATTTATTATTTCTGAATTATAAGGTTTAATTCAAAGCCAGTAGATCTTTAAAAAATCTGTATTTCAATTCAAAGGTTTAATTCAAAGTCAGTAGATCTTTAAAAAATCTGCATAGGTCTGCATTTACTTTTAGGAAAATAGGAATCAGAAATATTAACAGGGATATGTTTTAAAAACCTGATAAAGGTTAAATGTAAGGCAAATGTCTTGGATAGAAGTTTAAAACCTGGTTTGTTTGTACAGAGAAAGAAAGTTTTACGTATCTTAAGTATTTTAAGTTGGAAATGAATACATGAAACCGTCAAAAATGAAAGATCATCTTGAAAGACTTCATTCAGATAAAAAAAAAATGAAGAATTAGAATTTTTCAAAAAAACTCAAAGAAAAATTCACATGTCGACCAACTCTAAAAAGTTTTATGAAACAGTCTACTGAAACTGAAAATGAAGGAGGATTAATTGCTTCGTACAAGATTTCGCTTAATATAGCAAAGAGGGGAAAACTCCACACAATCGCAGAAGAAATTGTAGTACCTGCAATTAAAGACGTCATTGAGAATGTGATGAAAAAAGACTCTACTAATGTTTTAAAGTCTTTGCCATTAAGTGCAAATTCTGTAAAACGGCGTATTGACGAAATGGCCGAAGAAATAGAAAAACACAGTAGTTTCGGAGCTAAAAAATTGCAAGTTCTCTATACAACTTGATGAATCTGTTTTTGGCGTTTCTGCTATTCTTATGGCGTATGTTAGATATTTCAGTAAAATTAAAGGAGAAGTCATTGATGAATTTTTATTTGCTAAATATCTTGAAACCGATGGGAAGGGAGTGACAATTTTTAGATGTTTACAAGAATATTTAAATAAATATGACATTCCGCTTGAAAATATAATAGCAGTAGCCACAGATGGCGCACCTTCTATGGTAGGGCGTTACCGAGGTTTTGCTACATGCCTCAAAGAAAAAGTGCCCGGTATTCGTACTATTCATTGTGTGTTGCATAGACACAACTTAGTAGCAAAATATCTGAGTTCAGAGTTACATGAAGCTTTACAGTTTTGTATTAAATCTATTAATCAAATTAAAGCTCAACCTCTTAAATCAAGATTATTTGCCAAACTTTGTGAGGAAAACAATGAGTTATTTAACCAATTACTTCTGCACACCGAGGTTAGATGGTTGTCTAGAGGTGTATGCTTGCAACGGCTCGTCAATTTATTTGACTCCACGACAGAATTTCTGAACGAAATAAATCCTGTTCTAAGCAATGAACTCCAAAACAATAAGAACCATATTTTTTATTTAGCAGACTTATTTGGAAAATTTAATGACGTTCAAACAAAACTGCAAGGAAAAGATGTAACAATTATCCAAGCTCGGACAATACTGTTAGGCTTCCAAGTAAAATTAAATTTATTTAGATCTTCATTGCTACGTAAGGATTATAAGTATTTTTCAAATCTGCAACAATTAAAAATAAAAAGAGAAGACTTGGAAATATATACAAATCATCTTCAAAAATTAAGCGACGATTTTAAACTGCGCTTTGTTGATTTGGAAAACATCGACATCCCTGATTGGATTATTGCGCCATTTTCGGCGCAAATTGATAACGTCGACATCAACATACAAGATGAGCTTGCTGAACTATTGTCCGATCTTGAAGCAAAAACGCTTATTAAAAATTTGACAATACATAAATTTTGGACTAATATAAATATAAAGCAAAAATATGTGAAACTTTACGAAATGGCTCAGCCATTTATGCTGGCGTTTCCAAGTTCGTATATGGTTGAAGCCGGTTTCAGTCACGTTAATTCAATTTTAACTAAAAACAGAAATAAATTAAATGTGGAGCTTCGAGGGGATTTACGGTTAAAATTGACTAATTTCGAACCCAATATAGCGAACCTTGCCAAGAAACACCAGGCACACTCATCTCATTAAGAAGTAAAAAATCTGTAGCTACTTTACTTACTGTTTCTGATTTATTAAATATTTAGACTAATATATAGTTTTTTATTTTAATTACCTGAAAATTACCTTTGTGGGGGTCTATGGAGATTTCGAAAAATTATATAGGGGGCGATGATCAAAAAAGTTTGGCGACCCCTGCTTTAAATACTGGCTCCTTTCTACCTCATTTGAATATCACTCGAGCTAGAAATTTACATTCTGGCAGGAAAATGAGAAACGAGGAGGAGAGGAAAGCAGTTTAAAGTAAAATAACTGCTTAATAAAATAAATTAGACCATAAAACATATTCAAATTTTTCTAAACTACGTGTTGTTTTAGTACAGAATACATAAGTAAGATCTAATTTGTTAACCTTTTGAGGCCGTTGCTTTGGCAGCTGTAAAAGCCTTGAAAGGACGGGGTATCTTGAACCAAATGCTTTCCCCCCTTTAAGAAATCACCTCCTATTTGCAAAAAAGATTCTTGTGTGTAGTTTAATGGATTCTCAGTAGGGTGCATCTGTACCGCAAAAGGAAAGGAAGTGTAGAGATTAGTGACTAGACTTCAAGACGCTTTTCGTCACTGAGGGAAAATTACAGTTGTTCCGGATTGAGATTACTGAGCGTTACGCAGAAGGAAATGTGTAAACCGCCGTTGAAGAAAATGTCATTCTTTATATTATAGATCGTTACTTTCGTTTTTATAAAATTTTGTTTGAATTTTAACTCTTTCGCATCGAGAGAGGACCAAATCTCTTTTCCTCAAACACCAAAAACGCCCGTGTATACGAATTTCTGTTGGAATGCTTTTTCTTTTCCCATGACAAATTGCGCTAACAATAACCTACTTAAGTAAAGCGACATCTTTCTTGGACGTTTTCACTCTGTGTGAAGTTCCCCCTTGGGATGGAATTGCTACTTCGGGCATCAATAGCTAAACATTGACAGTAAGTAAACATAGGAAAAAGAAAGGTGTATAAAATAACAGAACTACTTTCAGTCTTTTGAAAAGAATGATTGAAATGTCATTTGACAACTCCTGAAAGCAATGAGCAATGCAGTAACGTGATGGGGGGAAAGCACCAGGTAGGAAATTATTCAGGCATTCGAGGACGACCTGCCGATATCTGAATGTTCGGGCGTTTATAGCAACTACGATGTCAAAGAGTTAAATTACACTGAAAATTATGTGTCTTTACTAAGAGCTTTAATTATTTCTATCATATCTTTATATTAATGTTATGTCAAAAGATTATTTCACCTATTTATTTCCTGGAGAATTTAAAATTTAACCAATCTTCATCTCAGCCTTTTTTTTACCGTTAAATGTCCTTATAATCATAAATTTGTTTTGGTATGTACGAATATATCAAATATAGCTCTATCTTTGAACTTTCTTCCATACATCGAATAATTAAAAAATAAAAGCTTAAAGCTATAGAAATGATTAAAAATTAAAGTCCAGTAGAACTCTTAAAGTTATGCTCTGTAGACGTAATGAAATTTTAATTTTACATAATTGTTCAAAATCTGCTTGATAAGAAGGAAACTTTCAGAAAATTAGAATATAACTGGTTTAATGAAAATAAATTTATTTTAATGTAGACTGTTTATACTGCAATATCCAACTACATAAGTGTTCCTAATTTAAATTCAGTTCTTTTCCAAAATCAATGCATAATAAAACAGAAGCTAAGCTCAAAAACTGATTTTTAGAATATATATTTTAGTTTTAAAAATTATATAAAAAGGATTATTTAATCAAGTACCTTCTTATACTGTTTATTGAAAATTAGTAAGTGATATATTCAGGTATTAATAACAGAATGAATTGAAGTCATTAAAAATGTAAAATTATTTACTATGCAAACCCATAATTAAAAACGTCAATTCCATTTGTCTTTTTTTTTTTTTTTTTTTTCATTTGTCTAAATTCGCAGCCTTACTAAGGGAACGTGTTCACTCGGGTATCAAAATTTAGGTAATTTCTTAGTGCAAAGAGTTTTTCAAATTGAAGGGAAAATTGTTTGTTATGCATAATGTCTGCAAAAAATGTGGGACAAAAGTTACACAATAATTAGTTGTTGTCTTCAATACTGTATTTTATTATGCTACATAATTTAGCACAGTAAGAGAAATTTCGAGATAATTTCAGGTGCCCGGTCAGCAAAATTCTCTCCGGTTTGAAATCGTCGTCGCATGTGAATTTTTCTATTTCCTCTTTTGCTCTTAAATAATGTACAAATCTAAACCAGTTCGTTTCAATTCCAGATTGTTTTTGTAGCAGCTTTGACATCAACCATGGCGGCATATTTTATTATGGTGGAATTTAAATTCTGCGATATATTAGCGAGTAACTTTACTTGCAGTTACTCAAAAAACTTCATTGTCAGGTCATGCGAATTCTATACTGACACAGATGAATTAACTGTTTTTCCCTTTTTTTATTGAAAATTTGGCAGCTAATCATTGGTTTCATTACCACCTCGGTCATTAAGCTGTCGTATCAAAACTATTTCATAACTGAGTGGCAAAGGTATGCGCCCAGGAATTTGTCCTTGAACGTAGTTGCTGAGATATATGTCTAAAGAATGGCAAAGGCTCAATCACTTAAAAGTTCAAGGCTCAGAAATTCAGATGGGGAACATGTTTTGTCTTAGAACAATGATTTGTACATTATTTGAGAGCTTTTACATCCTGCTTGTATTCTCGGAGCTCAACAGACAGCGACATTTCACAAATACTACTCTAATCCATTTTGAACATCTTACTTCAAAATTATTTGACCGTTAAATCGAGACACTGATACGGAGGTACCTTTTAAAATAACAGTACATCAGTACATCTGGAATCTAATGGCTAGAGATGAGGCCCAGGGAGAAACACAATGAAGAAATTCTTCGCTTCTAAAAAGACAAAACCTTTCAAACTGATTGACTAGTTTTAGTCTATTTACGATTTCCAGGTTTCAGACTGAAATTGTAAAGCTTTTTTTGTGACACAAAATTTATATTTATGTTCTTGTGATTTGTTTGAACAACAGTACCATCACAGTAAACTTCCGTGTGTGAAGGTATCTTCAGCATAAAACAGGTATATATGACAAAAAGACAGACAGAACTGTTAAGAATGAACTGATAAGAATGTAAGAAAAACTGCTTGTACATGTATACCAGTACTTGGGAATTTATATTTGTTTATGGAAATATATACCTACAATATCCATGTAGCATGTATGTCTGCATTGATATAATATGGAATAAGTGCAGATATGTACATAAAACGGAAAGTATGCGTACCCTTAAATCGGAATAAATTATATACAGACACGTACACATATGCATTATATATGTGTGTTTGTGTGTGGATTTATGCATACGTATATAAACATACAGATATATCTATGTGTATATATTTCATCATCAAGCTCTTGAAGAAGTTTTCGTATTTATTCTTCAGTCAGCCCTCTTTTCCTTTTCGGCATATTGCTAGAAAAATGACAAAATAAATCCTAAAAAACTTACGAAAATATGCAATATTCTAAAGTAACGCAAGGCTCTGTTTACAAATTAAAAGAGCAGTTATCGTGAATTCTGTAGCTATGTAGCTGCAAGAACGAAAAGGGAAAAATTGGAAAAAACCGGATCCTTAACACAAAGACCTTCGAAAGAGATAAGTGGTCAGAACCCCAGGGACGTCAAATTTGACATTTCACCCCACTCTTTCAGCCTGGAAAATGGGGGAAAAAGACATGGCCACTAAAGTGGACAACCCTGTCCTTTCAAACTATAAACGTTTCATTTGAATATCACTCGAGATAGAAAATTTACATTCTGGCAGGAAAAGGAGAAACGACGAGGACAGGAAAGCAGTTTAACGTAAAACAACTGCTAAATAGAATAAACTAGACCTTAAAACATATGCAAATTTTTCTACGTGTTGTCTTAGTACAGAACACATAAGTAAGACATAATTTCTTAACATAATATTAAGAATTAAGTAATGTTATGAAATGCCAGTTGTGGTGAGATAGCTTTCCCGCAAGGAGAGGTTAGGGTTACCAGAAAATGACAGGAAAAGTCAAGGTTGCCATTTGGTGCGAAAGCGCTCATTTGGGGACTAAATTGGCGCTATCTCATAGACGAAGCGAGAACATCCAAGAAAGCCTTCTTAGCGATTTCCTCGAGAATGTTCTCGAAGGTAGGCCAAAAGCTATATATATATATATATACCCTGTCTGTACGCGGAGTAGGAGCGTATGTTTCCCTGGGCCAAGCAATCCTTTATCTTGGGGTGAGCTTCAATAAGTCACTTACATGGTCCCCGCACATTACATCTATTATCCAGAAGTTTCGAGTTCGTAAAGCCAAACTATACCCTTTAATTGCTCGAAACAGTATATTATCTATTGACAACAAGTTACTCATTTACAATGCCATTCTACGTCCACTTTTGTGTTATGCAAGTTCAGTTTGGGCATATACCAAGAAAACCATAGGAAAAGATTGCAAATCTTCCAGA